AAAACAGCTTTTATAAGCATGTTCTATGGTAAAAATAAACACTCTTCAAATAAAAGACAAGTTCTCAACAAAGAAATACAAACCAGAAATTTTAGAATGGAATACTAGTATTTGAAATATTAAAGTTGCTGGCAGAATGAAGATAGAAAAGTCAGTGAACCTGAGATCAGATCAACAGAAGTTGTCCAATGTTGAGGAAGGAAAGGGAGGGAGGGAGGGAGGGAAGGAAAGCAGCAAGGGATGTTATACAGCTCAGTGTGGAGGCCCTGGGTTCAAGCCCCAGAAGCACACAGAAACAAAACACCCCAGAGCTTTGGGGACTTGTTTGGAAATATGAAAGGATCTAATATATCACTGTATTCTGAGGGAGAGATTAATATATGAAAATATTTAAAGATATAATGGCTGAAAATACCTCAAATTTGGTATAAAAAAATAAATTTACAGAATCAAGAGCCCAGCACACCCAAAACAGGATACATTCAAAGAAAACCAAGCTCACACAGATCATAACCAAACTGCTGAAAATCTGAGAAAACAACCACTGCATGCATAACTATGTATTTCTCATCAGAAACCATGGAAGCAAGAAGGTAGAACAAGTTTTAAAGAGCTGATAAAACTAGTCAACCCAGAATTCCATAGCCAATGAAAATATTTATCCAGAGTAACAGTTCAATAAAGACATTCTTAGATGTAGAATTTATCACGAGCAGATCTATTCTGAAAGAAATGCAAAAGTAATTTTTTTCAGGTTGGAAGGACACCAGACCTGAGGAAAACCTGGAACCTTAGTGATGAAGACAACAGGAGTGGGTGCCTGAGAACTAGGAGTTGCACTGATCTGAGGGAATGACAAGAGCTTGTCTTTTGGCCTTCAGAATAGGGAGCCAGAGATCTTTCAGTAGAATTTTTCTTTATGATATGATGTGGCAAGTTTTAGCCAAAAAACTGAAAACCTTAAAACATTTAAGTTTTATGAATGTATAAAGTTCAGACCATGAGAGTGTTTAGTGTTTCACATTTTAATATTTATAGTATTTACTTAAATATTATTTAACATCTAGGATGCGTAAGTAGAAAACATAAGTAGAACTGATTTAAAACTCTAGTGTCAATTTTTAAAATATTTATTCATAAACCAAGACTCTCACTTCCATTGATTTTGAGTGATGTGCCTAGAAATACTTTTTAGATTGCTAATAACATTAAATATTAGGTAACAGGTGATTATTTTGCAAAGTTGATGAAGGGCTATACCTTCTGCCACAGAACAACCTTGAGGAATGAATACAGATCAAGAATCGTTTTTAAAAATCTTCACTAGAAAAGCTCACAGATCAGAAAGAAAATGCATTTTTATACTGGACATATTAACAGATCCCTACAATACCATCATTATTTGAAGCTCAAGTATTTTTTGTTTCCAAGTGAGGAACTGTTTCCAAATATTAAGTGGCACTACTGGAAATTCTATTACACATTTATAAACCTATAGTTCCTTAAAACACAAAATGTCCAAGATGTGATAAAACCTGAACATCCACATTTCACACAAAGCCTATGTGATCTCCATGACCTTCTGGCCTCTGTGGATCCTTCCAGCCTCATCTTCTACCATTTGTGCCCTTTTTTATTTTTCTAAATTTGGTAATTTTTCTTTAATCACAAATATCAACCCACTTCCAGCATCTTTCCTCACTATCTGTGTCTGAGGTCTCCTGCGTGAGTTCCCCTTTGTTTCTGCTTTCCGCCTATCCACAGTCACTGACACATTTCACACTAAGCTCTGGTTTTACCCCTTCTGGGTAGCCTTCTCTCTTACTCCATGCCCGGGGGTAGGTCCTGCTCCTCTGCACTCCCCTAGCATAGGACATGTGCCTATCAAAAGATCCACAACTCTGCGTGAAGTAATCCACTCTCTCACCAGCTGGAAAGCGCCCAGAGAGCAGGCACAGGGCCCTCCTCAGGTGGGCACTGCCAGGCCCAGCACTGTATCTGGAAGTAGGCAAGTTCTCAGTGAATGTTTATGAACCATCTTACACTTAACAACTGACCTGACCCCTCAGGCTAACTGCAGCCCTAGAGGAATGAACTGAAGGAAGAAGAAACCAAAAGAACACTCAGGGTTGTTGAGGCCCTCCTTAACTAAAATATCCTGTTCTCATCTTTTTCCCTCTAGGACAAGCCTGATAAATCTCAAAGGTAAGAGAGTAATCTGGCACAGTGGGCGCATGTTCCAGGGTTATGAGAGAAAAACACCATGAGTTCCTCCTAGGTGTCTGGCTGAGGAAAACACAGAGGTGTCTAGCCTTGTTAGCAACAAGTGGCTTATAAGCATCTGAACACTTCAGACACCAGACGCACCAATAGTGCATCTTTATATGGCATCCCCCTAAAAAAGTTCCCTATCAACAACAAGATATTGGAATCACACTGTCTTGCATCTTAAAAGTTTAAACACCATGTCACTCTAATTAGTTAATTTGTCTCCCCACCATTATGAGGATTCATCATTCTATTTTATAAAGCAAAGTGAGGGTCAAGAAAATCTAAGTTACTTACTTAGCTCTATTCAAATCTCATCCCCTCCCATTTTTATCTCATACAGTACACTTGATATTTCTCTTCAGTTAAATGGTAAAATCCAACATAGGAGATCTGCTCTTTATAATTTAGCAAACATTTACTTGTTTGTTTATTTAGGCGATACCAGGGACTGAACCCAGGGCCTTTCCACTGAGCTACATTTCCAGTCTTTTTTACTTTTGATTTTGAGATAGGGTCTCACTAGGCAGCCAAGCTGCCCAGGCTATGCTCAAGCTTGTCACCCTCCCTTCTCAGCCTCCAGAGTGCTGTGAGTTTGTGTATGCAACACCGTACTCGACAACAGCGGACATTTATGAAGCATGTGCTAGGTATTAGGCCCTGGATTACACGTCTGTGTCCATTGGGAGATTTCCTCTCACCAGTGCCCCTTTTCACTCTGTCCAGAGTGGAGGCCTAATTCTCCACTTAAAGGCACTATAAATGGGCCTCAAATCACGGACACTCTTGTCCTAGTATTTTTAACTTAACATTAATTTTGTTTTATGCTCAAACTTGAGCTCTGGTTAGTTATACCCAGGCAACCTCATTTTAGTTCAGTTCCCAGGGCTGCAAGGGTTAGAGGGAGCAATATTTAACAGGCTTTGGGGTCAAATAGGTTCAAGGTTAATTCTTAATTTACCATCTATAAGCTTTGTGACCTAGCAATTAAGTTTTCTAATTCTGATTGCTTAATGTAAAATGCGATAGACAATACAAGTGTCTGTAGAATTTTGTGCAAATAAAGAACAGAACATTATGGGTTTTTTTTGGTACTGGGGATCAAACTCGGGTCCTTCCGCTTGCAAGGGAGGCGGCGTAACCACTGAGCTAAATCCCCAGCCCTAACAGAACATTATGTTTAAAAAAAAGCCCACTCCTGAGACTAACAAATGTTGTTATTTCCTATGAGGATGAATTCCTCCTATATCCTTTAATATTGTCAGTCTAAAAATACTTTATGCCATATAATTCTCAGAGTGACAAGGTGATAATAAAGTCATGAAAAAGCTAAAACGTAAAATTAAGCTGGGGAAAAAAGCAATGAGTAATCTGCTATACTGCTAATGTAATGCAGGTACATCTACATGCAGAAAACATGACAACCATAATTTCTGCATAAAACATTCATGGCAATTTGGTACATGTCACAGTGTCTGTGTAGCTCCTCCTTTGGGGTAAATATACAGAACAAGGGCAAAGGGATCTACTGCCAATTGCAGGACCCAAAAAGTGCTGAGGGATACACCAGATGGTGTACAGTGAAGTAGGCACTTAGCTGGGAAAACCTCGATGGGAGGAGCGAGTTACCACAATGGCTGCATCAGCTGTGCCCTTGAGCCCACAAAGCTGGAGTGGTGGGAGGGAGAAGACACTGACTGGGGTGCTTCTCAAATCCCTCCTGTCCCACCCTACTCTCCCCCAGGCTCCATACCCTGTGATTTCATTCCAACAGATCAGCAAAAGGGTTTGGGACACACACTGCAGAATAAATGAAAGAGTCACATAAAGTTTCTCCTGGAATCAGTTCCACTGAAAACCACTCACATGCTACGTTCAGCAAGAAGCAAGTTTAAGCACCTTTCTGCAGCATGGATGCCTGAGATGCTTGGAGAGCCATGAGCTCAGGGACGGCAGTCCCTCTGGGCTATAGGGAAAGTAGAATGACAAGAACTTTCTCCCCTGCAGACACAACCCGGTTTAGATTTCTCTGGTATGTGGGAAGACCACAGCAGCATGGTCATTTTAAAAATGTGTGACATTTAAAATTTCTGTAGCAGTGCCAGATGCTAGCAACTAAATTCTGATCCTGTGCTTTCAAGCTCTTTGCTGAGGTTTTGCAAAGAGAGACAGAGAATCCATAAGGGATAATGTCACTTTTTCTTAAAAGTGTTTGACAAGTGGCCTGTTTTATTTATTTTTTTGGTACCGGGGATCGAACTCAGGTCCTTGCGCTTGCACAGCAGTGGCAAAACCACTGAGCTAAATCCCCGGCCAAGTAGCCTCTTGAAATTTTCTAGTTTTCCATTTGACCATAAATTACATAGCCTGTTGGCACTGGCTGGTCTGCTGCTGAGAACAGTGCTGAGATCCTCCTGGTGGACTAGGAAGCTAGGGTCCCAGGCTATGAAACTTATAAGGAATTAATTCAAAACCTGTCAGCTTTACTTTTGTCACTTGTAAAAATGAAAATTTCAGTAGCTTACCTGTCCTGCCTACGTGCAGGGAAGCTGTGAGAAAACTAGTTAAAGCACATGCAAATCCAAAGTCCAATGATGGCTGTGGCAAGGTCTGGTGACGAGACAGGTCCCTTCCCCTCCTCCTTTTGCCTGAGGGGTCAGTAGCCTTGCTAGTTACCATGACTCTGTTCATCTGGGGAAAGCAGAACAAGGGCACTTCCGTTCGTTCTTTACCTTTTTTTCATTGACATCCACCTGCTCCTCTTCCTCGTTCACCTCTTCTGGCATTTCTTTGATTTTGTTCAGGAGCTCAGCCTTGGCAGCAGACACACTGTAGTAGGCAGGGCAGTTGACCAACATGCCGGCCACTTCCTTGTCTTCACTCCTGGACCAAAAGGAACACAAAATATAGCCACACATAATTCTCTAATGATGTTTGCTCATTCAGTAGTGCATTTCTTTCTTAGAAATTAGGGTGACTTAGTAAATATTTACAAATAAGAAGAGGGCTCCAGAAGCCAGGCAAACCTTCGGTGGAAAACACAAAGGTAGGAGTGGGGATCAGGATTCTAGCAAATCACCGCACCTCTCTGCAGGTTAAGTGATACACAGAATAATGATCTGACTCCTTTCCCAAAAACACAACACGGAGCTATGACACCACAAATTCCAGGTTTTGGGGTCATTTCCTACTCTTTCCTGGTTATCTATAATCTTTTCTATGTCTACTATTATTTGTACACTTAGAAATTTCCGTCTTAAGTAAGTCTAATTCCTCATATATATACATTTGTTTTTTCGACTGTTGTTACCAGAGTATCCAACAGATTACAAACAGGGTTTCTGCAGCAATTGACTAAATGTCACAATGGCTATTTGCTGAAGTTCATCCCAACAGGTCACTTCTCATTTTGACCAGAAGATGGCGTATGCCACCCGGCTGATCCTTCTGCAGGCTCAGGGCTGCCTGCAAATGCTACAGGACCATTTCACTTCTACAGCAAATGGTCTCGATGGTGATGCTTTTTTTTAAAGATGTATTTTAAATTGCTTTGGTCTTTTTACAGCGAGTTGTCAGACAACAGAATGATCAGTGACCATGCGTGGTGAGCTGAATGGCACGGCCAGAACTCATCTCAGGCGCGGTGGTATCCCATAGAGGACCTTGTACGTTATAGGTGCTCAGGAATGTTTGCTAAACACATGACCCTGGGTACGTCGGTTCACCCCAAATGTTATTTCCCAAGTGTGGAAAAGACGGGGAAGGACAGGGGACTGTAAGGTGTCGAATGAGGAGAGCCTCTGGTAACCTAGCAGCTAGCTTCTGAGTACTGCATATCCCTCCCCCAACAAAAAACGGTATTTCTGCTAGTAATTTAGTTATGGTCACCTACAACTTTCTAAAGTGCAAGCCCAAATTTGGATGAAATGCTGTTTTTATTTAGCCTGGAAACCATTAACTACTGAGTCTGTCTGTAAATCCACAGTTTTCATTGAAAATTAAAAAGAAAACATTTCATAGTAGTCCTAAAGGAATTCAAACATGCAAGAAAGTACAACAGTAACTCAAGAGAAACAGAATGGGCAACATGAACTACTTGTGGTTCTCTCATGGTGAGGTGGCACTGGACATCTTAGAGAACCATCGACATATGGCTCAGGGAGCTTAGGAGCAGGGGTGGAGCAAAACCAGAGGTATCCACCCACTCACGTGTCTCAATTTTCAGATTTGAGCAAACACCAACCCTAATGTCTTATAGGTACATTTTCAGTGTAGTAAATAAACTATTTCTCTAGACTCCCGTCCTTTTTACAAAGAACACATTCACCCTCAGTCATGGAGTCACCTTAGCCATACCACTTCTACTTGCTCCTTTCTCCACACTGCGGGGGTGGGGGGGGGGTTCTCTGTGAGGGCAACATTGAGGGAAAACAGGCAGCCGTACATGCACTGAGCTAGATACACTGTGTCACCACCAGGACAGCAGGCAGTCACGGGCCAGAACACACATGTTCCAGGGCCTTGGCCAGGCGTGGTGTTAAATCTTCTATGCTTCACTTTCCTCATTTGTAAAAAAATAAGGAGAACACCCTGGTAGCTCCTTCAGAAGGTAGTGATGATTAAATAAGAATGTTTATATGAAGAAATTAATACAATGTGAACAATAGATATTAATGATAATTATTACTATTGCTATTATTTCGGTTGTGGGGCATCTGTCACTCCCCTATGGCTAGGGGATGTCACTCTTGGGTCAGGGATCTGTGGAAGTAGGGGACTATCAGACTTATCACCCATGGAAGAATTCCATTCTACGTCCTCTGGGGGCATCACCAGGCCCTTACCTCTTGCCTTCACATCCCAGGAGGCTGACAGTCTTCTGCATGGCCTTCCTCTTGGTGCTGTCTTCCTTCAGTAAGTTAAGATCTCGGGGAAACAAACCTTCCATCAGGTCCATAGTTGTCTTCATTCTAGAGTCTGGATCCAAAATGTCTGCCAGAGATTTGTCTTGGTGTACAATTTCCTTGGCCAGAGCCTCTGTTCTGATATCTTCAGAGGTTTTCTGAGGATCAGAACTGACTTTCTTCTCCAAACCCTGAGTTCCACCAGATGGCTCATGGATAAGGCTTTGGGTCTGACTGGGAAGGGGTGGCCCTGGGCTTGGCTGCTCGCCAGGACACCCTGCCAGTTGGGGCTGAACGCTCTTGAAGAAGGGTGCACTGGACTCATTGGCCTCTGAACATTTGACAGAAGTCTGGGGTCTGGAAGGTGGTGGCTGACCTCCTAGCTGATGGGCTGCAGCAGGTGTGTGTCTTTCCCTTGCAAGTGTCACCTTGGAAAATTGGCCAGAGCTGGTAGGGATATAAAACAAGAGTAAAAGGGAAAGAGTCAGTAAAAGGGTAAAGAGAAGAAGGTGAAAGGGGGGAAGGGAGTGGCATTCACCATCATTCCAGAGGGTGCCCTCCCCATGCCCTCGGTTCTCAAGGCCCTTGTGAGCCTGGTGGCTGCTCCCAGGGAGGCCATCATCTCCTAAGGGAGATGAAGTCACTAGGGATTCTGTTCTGATGAACACTGCTAATAGATTCCAGAGCTTTCTGAAAGGTGGAGCTGAGAAGGTCGGACTGGTCATTGTCTCGATGTTCAGAGGACACAGCCCGAAGGTTACACTGTACGTGTGAGATCACTTGTCCTAGAACCTATGTGTTGGGAAATGCTGCTTCTCCGTTCTTTTGGCTCCAAAGAGGTTTTCCCTAAACACTGACGTTTAGCTCTACTCTTCGCTCCTTCTCATGGACATGGAGTGGCTCTGGGCAGCCCAGCCTCTTCTGAGAGGCGGTCTTGGACTACCGTGTGTCTCACACAGTCTTTGACTATGGTTGTGTACCTGTTTGAGGGTTAGTACAGCACACTTGCCTTACATGTAGACAGGGTGGCTACTGCAAACTATGGCTTCGATCAGTAATTAAGGCGCTATTTTTGTCTTTCATACATCTTTTGTCTTACTTAACTGATTCAGAACTCAGCTAAGGAAGAGGGCTGCTGTTTTCCTGGCCTCTGTGGGCCTCCCATACCCATGAAGTGAAGTGCGCAGCTGGGGTTTGTCTTTCGTCCTCACTGCTCTCCTCCCTGGTTCCTAGTGCACACCAGCTTAATTACCACCCAGGACAAATGAATAAAACAGTTCTGCCTGCTTCATGAGCTGAGCTTGTATTCAGAAAGCCTCCATCCCAGGGCTCCTCTGTGGCCAACAGAAGGACTAAGGAAGCCAGGACATGAGAATCTCCTGTAAGCCAGGGAAGCACGGTCCCTCCTGCCCAACCCTGAGGCCACTTACTGACCTGTGGCCTGGCCCCTCAGGAGCCTCCAGGGCCAGCAGCCCTTCACACTCAGCTTGGGGAGGAGGTGGAGGAAAATCATCTGAGCTGGTCACTGGGGTTTCCTGGCTCAGTGGAGGTGGGGGTGGAGGAAGAGCTTCAAACTCAGGGCTGGAAGTAGCCTTGGGATTCAAGTCCTTCTCAAACACTTCGTCCTCGTACTCCTCCTGAGGCACTTCGGAGGCTGGCAGGCCTGACTCAGATATTCGCAGGGAGATTCTCCCCAGAGGGCCTGGGTCTGGAGTGCTGCGTGAACTAGGAAGGCTCAGATGCTTTCTACAGTGCTTTGGGTTTGTGGACTCAGGTGATGAGGCTTCCTCGGGAAGGCTGTCCTCGTGGGCCTCATGGGCCCACTTTGCCCAAGGAGGAGGAGGCTGCCGAGGCAGGGAGACCCTCTTCCATGTTCTTTCTCCTCCCCCTGGCTCTGGGCTGCTGAACTCACAGCCACTTGGGCTGGATGGCTGGGTCAGGGGGTGTGAGTTGCTTCTCTGGGTTCCTGCATGGGTGTAGGAGGGCAGAGGCTGTTGCCCTGCCTGATTGTCCCTCCCAGTCTGCTGATCCGAGGTAAGTTGCACACAGTAGCTAGAGGGAACAGGAGAAGGCAGAGGGGAGCTGAGTGGGGTCAGAGGTAGAGCCCTGGCCTCTGGAAATTGCCCCTGCACTCTGGGCAGCAGTGGCCTGGGGCCCGGTGTTCTGCTGGCTTGCCTCTGATGGTCTGAGACCTCAGGACAGTCACTTGGAACTGAGGAACCACAGGGTGCTTTGCAGCCTGAGCCACTCCAATGAGGGGCAGGACGGTGGCTGAGCAAGGGCATCTCCTCTTGGTCTCTTTCTAAACAACTGAGTGACCTGGAACAGGATACAGACGGGCAGTTACAGCTCTGAACAAAGGCAAATATTGAGCCCACAATTCATTATACAGATAAGAAAAGCATTTAAAGGGAAGAAAGATACTCTATTTCCATGGCTGCTCATAGGCAAATTAAAGTACCAGACAGACATAGGTCTCAACAGGAAACTGTCATGTGGAACCCTCCCTCACCATGCCCACGAGATGCTTTTGAGGGCAGGCTTCTGGACATAAGAAGGAAACAAGTGGTCGATTTCTTCATCTCCTGGCTCTGGGAGAAAACGATGCCTGCCTCAATGGTTCCCACCTCATTCTCTCCCGGCAGGATCCCAAGTGGGAGGTGTACTTCCAAATGCTTGTGGGGGCTGCTGAACTGGAGGGTTTTATTTACAATGTTGAGTTTCCTAGTGTTTTCACTTCCTAAGATAAAAAATTAAAAGGAGAAGAGGTTCACCTAAGGGGCTAATAAGTAGTTACTTCTGGAGAGACTGACAATAAGAAGCAAATATGTTGCCTGGTGATTTAAACAACTGTCCTGTAAGCACCAAGGAAAATCCAGCAATTCCTAATACTTTTGTTATTATGTTCAAGAGGGGAAAAAAGGGTAATCAAGACAAAGAAAAGCAAATACAGCACTGCCTGCCTGCAATGCAAGAGTTAATGTGAGGATAAAAATATCCTGCAAATCCTGTCATTCATCAATTCTGAATCCATAGTTCCCCGACTGGCTTCGTCAGGGAATCTGGAGCGCAGATGGCACTTTTCATCTCACAGATCTGAGTCTCTGGAAGGAGCGGTGACTCAGTTTCACATTGGAACAACAGTGCAACGTCTGCCACAAGCCTTCCAAGTGCCAGGCAAGGATAGTGCAGCATACGGAAGGGAAGGACTGGAAAGAACCAAATTAGCTCTTCTCTCTTCTGTTTCATATAGACGAAGATGGCTGAGTAAAAGCCAATGGGGACACTGGAGAAACCGAAGCACGCGATCCCCCTGAGAAGCTCTTCATTTCTATGTCATTCATCCTGGCAGCCACAATACCTGGCACAAGGTACGATGTCTGCCGATTTATATCTGGTGGACCAAAGTCTCTTATGTCTGGCTCACTGGTGGCGAACCTATGGCATGTGTGCCGTACGCAGCGTGCTATTTGTTATCCTTGAAACCTCTAAAAGGTTCACCATCACTGGTCTATCTGCTCTTCAGATGGGAGGATATGAACTATTTTAAACTTTGTATACTGTAAGAAGACATGAGTCAACTGGTACCTTTACTGATGACTAATTCAGGTGCCTTGACTTCCTGAACTTGTACCCTGAAGCTTTTAGAAAAGGAAATCATCACTCAAATATGTAACACTGCTTATCCTTTAATGATCCAGCCTAATAAACTTTGATGCTTTAAGTTTATGTTTAATCCTAGTTTACAAGAGCCATACAAAAGTTGCATATTTTTGAGGGTAAGATTTGGAGTAAATGCTTAGATTTGGTTGAGAATGCCTCTCCATGGTGACTGTATTTTTTAGGAAGACTTTAATTTTTTTTTTTGAGGCAGGGTCTCACTATATTGCTAAGAATCAGATTTTAAAGCAAAAAAAAAAACACTTTAAGCCCCTTTTATAATAGGGTAAGAGGAGCTCAAAGAAGAGATCAGAGCCCAAAGTATCCAGGAATCCTAATATTTAAGAATGAGTTTTGAGGGCAATTTTTTCTCTTTCTCTTTTTCTTTTTGAGACAGGGTCTCGCTTTATAGCCCAGGCTGGCCTTGAACTCACTATGTAGCCCAGGCTGGCCTTCAACTCGAAATGATCCTTCTGCCTCAGCTTCCCAAGTACTGGGATTTCAGGCATGTGCCACCACACCAGCCAAGACAAATTTTCTCATGTATTTTTTAAAGCATTTTTTATTGTGGTAAAACCACAGCATAAAATATCACCCTCAGGATTTTTAAGAGTACAGTTCGGTAGTGTTAAATATATTCATGGACTGGGAAGTAGTTCAGTGGTAGAGTGCTTCCTCGGCAGGCACAAGGCCTTGGGTTTAATCCTCAGTTATTTAAAAAAAAATGTTCCCATGATTGTGACTCAGAGCTCCAGAACTTTTACATCTTACAAATCTGAAACTACCCCCATTAAATAACTTCCCTATTCTTCTTCCCCCACCCCTTGGTAATCACCATTCTTATATGTTTCTATGAATCAGATTAGGCTAAGTGTCTCATATAAGTGGAAACATATAGAATTTGTCTTTCTGTGACTGACTTATTTCACTTAGCATGACTTCCTCAAGGTCCATCCATGCTATATTGTGTGATGGGATTTCTTTCCTTTTTAAGGCCAAAAAATATTCCACTGTCCATATAAGTCATCTTTTATTCACAGTCACCCACCAATGGGCACTGGGTTGTCGCTATTACTTGACTATTTTGAACTGTGCTGCAATGAACATGGGTATGCAAAGATCTCTGAGATCCTTTTTTCAATTTTTTTGTTTTTTGGTACTGTGGATCAAACTTGGGACCTTGCACTTGGGAGGCAGGTGGCGAAACCACTGACCTAAATCCCTGGCCCTTCTTTCAATTTTTTTACTCTTTTAGATGTATACTGAATAGTGGCATGCGTGGGTCATTTTTTTTCTCCCCCTTCACACTGAGCTATAGCCCCAACACTTCTAAAATATTTTAAATTGTTATTTTGACCCAGGTCGAGCTCAAACTTGCCATCTTTCTGCTTCAGTGTCCCAGAATGCTAGGGTTACAGGCGTGTACCATCACAGCCAGCTGCAGTGCTGGGTCACAGAGCATATCCATTGCATTTTATTATATGTAAATGTATTTTTTAACATTTGGAGGAACTTCCATGCTGCTTTCTATTCCCATGAACAGTATGCAAGGGTTCCAGTTTTTCCGTGCTCTTGCCAACATGTGTCACCTTCTGTTTTACTGACAGTAATCATCCTAAGGGTGTGAGGTGACATCTCATGGTTTTGATTTGCATTCCTATTATGATTAGACATGGTCAGCAGCTTTTCAGATGCCTGTTCACCATTTGTTTACAATCTTTGGAGAAATGTCTATTTGAGTCCTTTGCTCATTTTTAGTATATGTGCTGCCAAAGCGAGCACATTTGCTCATTTTTAAAATAGGGCAATATTTGACTTTTCATTTAATCCCATGGCTTCAGATTAGTTTTCTTTTCTTTTTCTTTCTTTTTTTTTTTTTTTGAGATAGGGTTCAGATATGTAGTTCAGGCTTGCCTCAAACTCACAGCAATCCTGCCTCAGCTTCCTGAGTGCTGGGATTATAGGCATGTGCCACCTTGCCCAGCAAGTTCTCTTTTAATAGTGCATTAATTCATTGGTAGTTTTCCCTGTTTCTGACTTAATTAATACACCCAAACCAACTACAGTCCTCAGTTTCACCTTGGAAGGAGCAAAAGTATATAGCTGAGGGAAGGCTGCTCATGGCTATAGCACTTAATACCCATTTCGCGACTATGTTGGCTGCTTCTGTGACAGTAGAGTTATGGAAAACATAAAAGTAGAAAGAAACAGAAAACTGACTGATTAGGAAAAATGAAGAAACCGGCTTGAAAGAACATGGAAAGTGGTAGAGAAGATGTAATAACATTGTCATTGGTAATATACTGTAGCAGACAGCTCTGTGATGCTGCATTGAAGGAACACATAATACATGCACTTCAGGGACAACCCTCTGAAAATTTCTCCCCATGAAATTTCTCCATGTAGAGTTCAAAAATTCAGATTCTAAAAATCACTCATTATATTTTTTCCACCTAGGAGATATGATTTTAAAGACTAAGAAAAACTTTCTTTGTGTCTAAACTGCATTTTTTTTGTACTACAATGGATTGAACTCAGGGCCTTCACATTGAGCTACATCCCTGGCCCTTTTAAAAAATTATTTTGAGGGGGGCCGGGGATTTAGCTCAGTGGTTCCGCCGCCTGCCTTGCAAGCTAAGGACCCAAGTTCGATCCCTGGTACCAAAAAAAAAATTATTTTGAGGGCCGGAGATGTAGCTCAGTGGTTCTGCCGCCTGCCTCACAAGCGAAAGGTCCCGAGTTCAATCTCAGGTACCAAAAAAAAAAATTATTTTGAGACAGGGTCTCACTAAGTTGCTAAGTTGCCTAGGCAGGGCTCAAACTTGCACTCTTTCTGCCTCAGCCTCCCAGTGTGCTGAGATTACAAGTGCGTGATTCCCAGTATATCTTCATGTCTAAAAATGATGATTTTTGAGTTGATTTTCTGCTTTACATGCTACCTGTGGGTTTGTCTTGCCACGTGAAGCTGTTCATGCAATGCCCCTTCTTTCCCTATCACTTTAGCTCCCAGGCTTGATCCTTTACTCACAGAACTGGAGAGATCAGCTACACAAGTGAGGCTCCACAGTAGGAGCCCCAGGGTATGCTTGACAAGAGAATCTCCATCCATGACCCTGATGTCAAACTTGTTAAAAGACAAACATTTCCTCAATAGCATACAGTCAAAACCTTTTTTGAACAAGTGACCTTCTTAGAGAAAGATGTTTATAAATAAAAAATTCTCCATGGCTTAAACAAATTCAGAAGGCAGCACATGATATGTTTAATACCACAACATCGCATTTCAACTTTCTATAGAAAGCAACAGAAGTAGTTTAGCCTAGCTGCACTCACAGGCAGGAGGTATCTTCACTACACACACATACCTGGATCCAGGGCCAGCCAAGTAACATGGGTCCCTCACAAGACCAAAGCCACCATCTTCCCCCAGGAGAACACCCTGTAAACCAAAAGAAAGGTATTGCATTACTTCCAACAAACAGGTAATGGAGACAGAAGGAGAAGGAACACTTCAGGTATCACAGCAGCACTCTCTTATACTTTGCCTTTTAGCCCTCAAAGCTCCAGAAAGTACTGGTAACCCCACTGCCCGGATGAGAAGATGGGCCCAATGGCCAAAGTGGCAGCCAGTTTTTGAACTTCAGTCTGTTTCACCAGGTGCCTCCTTTAGCAAGAATGTTTCCTAAGAGGAGACTGATGTCAAATATCTCCAGAATTCAAAATAACTGCAATACTTGACATATGATGATGGTAATGAATACAACGAACTAAGCTCTTGAACTACAAAAGAGAAATATGGGAGTGACAGGGCAGTTACTGAATTTTGCAAAATCTCAAATGTGTTAAATTTCAGTTAAAAAAGATAAGAATATGGTTTGTAATCAGGTTGCAGTAAATTCTCTCTGGGAAAAATCCCACTTACATGTGATATCAATATCTCTGGGGACTTTTAAGAAGTAGCTTTTGTTTTTAATAAGGGTACATGCTAGTGTCCTGAAAGGGCCGACAGTGTAAACTGATAATCTAAAATCTGTTCCATGTGCTCTCATCCATGATGAAGATGATTAATGTTGTCATTGATGGTAATATATTCATATATATTTATAATAGGACATGTAGAAAACAAAATTAAATCCATGTGTAATGTCTAAACTTAACTTTATTATTTTATTTCATCATTTACTCCATCCAAAAGGCCTACTGGTTTTCACCCTCTTTCTCTTTTTTGCCCTGAGTCAGTGGTGGAGGTATGAAAATGAGCAATGAAAAGAGTCAAAGGTGGTCATGGACAGAGAAGAAAACGACTGAATATGATTAATAATGGCAGCTGCCCTTTACTGGTTATTAACTGTGCACCAGACACTCTGCTAAGTACACAAAAAGTATGTGCCTGGAATATCAGATACTTGATATTTCTTTTGTAATTTACTCTTTATAACAATGTAATTGCAACCCAGAGACACATCTAGCCCACAGAAAATAAGTTGGGATTCAAGCCAAGATCTCTTCAAAGCCCAAGATCTTTCCATGGAATGTCAATAGATTAAATGGTAGCTGGGATGGATGCAACCAGACTTGAATACTTTGAAAAAATGAATTCCAAGTGTTCTGATTTGCTCAAATATCACTGTAAGGAAAGGGAGTTGCTGGGGATTTAGCTCAGTGGTTCCACTACCTGCCTCAAAAGCACAAGGTCCAGAGTTCGATTCCCGGTACCAAAAAAAAAAAAAAAGTAGTAGTAGAAATAGGAATTCCTGTGCTCAGAAACCCTATGTTCCTCCCCACACCATTCTTCCATGATATGAATGTGCTCCTAAGTCAGTAAGGTTTAAATATGTTTTCCCATTCTATTAATCCTTTGCATTTCACCATGAGAATGAATCTAACATCTGTGTTCATATGATTTGGCCCTTGGAATGTCAAGCTTAAATTGATATTTATGTGAGTATGTATAAAGTAAAAGAAGTAAAACTCAGTAACAGGCTATTGAGAAAAAATTTAAAATTTCTCATCAATCAAAATACCATTTGGACAGAAGAAAAATGCCTCCTCAACCTACCAGAACCAAGGAAGGTAAATTCCTACTGGATTTTCTTACTTTGATTTGGACATATATATTCAGTGTCAAAGACTTAATTTTCTATAAACTGGTAAGAAACATAAACAGTATTTTAGGGCAATATAGGATAAAGTAGTGGTTATGGGAGAAATACCTTATTGGTACAACAAGTTATACCAACTTGTTATTCATCTAATTTACTTTTGTTAAGTTTCTCAAACTGACTTAAAAATTCACAAGTTCTTAGCATACTGGACTATAAACCTAAAGTCTCAATTTTCACTCTTTTTAGGAGTTCTTAGTTAAGAATACCCGGGGATTTATCTCAGTGGTGCCACACTTGCCGGGCAAGTGCAAGGTCCTGAGTTCAATTCCTGATACCCCCCCAAAAAAGGTAAAAAGAATATTCTATTATCTTTGTGACTGATGAAATATGAAGATAATAATATTCATCTACTTTAGGGTTATTAGTTACAAAAATAAAAGGTAAAAATAATTAAAAGTCCATATAAAAAATCTTGTTATTTAAACATAAATTGTAGTAATAAATGTTAAAATGAAATCAATTTATTGGCTGATATTTTCAGATAGAAGGTGTTTAACTCTTGCCTCCTTCTCCCTACGCTTCTTTTTATTCAAGAAGAGGGCATGGCATAAAGCAGCGATGGTGAACCTTTTAGAGCTTCCAATGATACAAACAGCCTGCTGCAGCATGCATGCTGTAGGTTCACCACTACTGGTACAGAGGCTTAAAAGACTGGAGTCAGGCAGTATGGGGTCAAAACATCACTCCCTATAACCCTGGTGAAATCCTATACCCTCTCTCAGCCTCAGCTACCTTTTCTGTAGCATACAGAAACCAGTACAATGATTAGCACATAGTAAAAATTTGATCACTGTTAGCTTTCCATAACTTCACTTTTTTTTTTTTTTTTTTGGTACCAGGGATCAAACTTGGGACCTTCCACTTGCGAGGCAGGCACCAGTACCACTGAGCTAAATCCCCAACCCATAACTTCACATTTTGCAGAAAGTCGATTCTGTTAATTATGCCTAAACTCAAATGGGTACTTACTCAGAGGTGCCTTTTTTAGTAGCTGCATCCCTCAGAATCAAGCCTGCATCCAACACTGTGGTGCCATGCACTCAGCAAATGTCTCAGCAACTAAATAATGCTTGTCACACCATCTCAAGCTGAATGTGAAGGTCCCCAAAATACAGTGAGAACTGGAGAAGGTTCTAACTCAGCATCTGGAAACCAATATCACCAGGAGTCTTATTTCTCCAGAGTTTCCTTTTATAGTCTCTGGTATATTTTAATCTATGCAAGGAAGAGGCATCAATTTGTCTCTGAAGCAGAATAAGTTTGGATATTTTTCTGCAACTTTGCAGGGCCTACCCACTTCAAAGGGTTTTCCAAGTTCTCACAAAAAGTAAGTGGGAACAGCCAAGAGTCTGATGTGCACTTGAGCTCCTTTGCTACTATCTATTCTGCAACTACATCTTTCAAAGGAAGAGAAATGAAAGGAGAAAGAACAGGCGGCTGCAAGTGTCAAGAAGGTCCCACACTGACTCGGGAGAATCCCCATGTGCCAAATATCTGAGGTCTCAGGCATTATTTCAGGCCCAAGAGTGGTCATTTGCTATACATAGAAGAAATGATTTCCCAGATGACCTTACACTTGGAGAAATTGTGAAAAGGAGCTATGTCCTTGTCAATAGCTCATACAGGCAGAGTGTATGCTTAGTTTGCACAAGTCCTTGGGTTCAACTCCCAACGTGAAACCAAACCAAACCAAAACACTAAAAACCAAAAAAACCCCCAAAACACCACTAATAAAATTCTGCTCTATTAGCATAGATTGGCAAGAGCAAATAGTGTGCTGGGGACATCATAAACTAAGGCAGCATTAGAAACAGACTCCATACTTTGGTTTTTTCCTCAGGCATGTAGTCTCTTCAAGGTCATTCAACCTTTAGGAGTTAGGATGAAAAAAATTCTTTATTAAGAAATGTTCACAAAAGCATAATGATAATAGTAGAGTTCTTGTAATTTAAAAAATTAAAAATCAAAATATCTTGAAATAAGAGCCAAAATTGCCACATGGTGAATTTAGTTTTGTTTGAAATTAGTCATTTTTTGTTTTGTTTTTTACTATTTTAACCACAAATAAGGCAGATGATACAGAGAATACAAAGCACAAACTTTGTAATAGGCCATTTCTCTAGTCAGCCAGGGCTAGTTGCTAGATGGGAGAAGAAATCTCAAGAATTTTTCAAAATGTACTGCACTAAGCAGCACAAAAGAAGTATTTCGTTTTGAAATATCTCCCTCTTGGTCTCATTTTCCCAAGACTACTACCCAAACATGGTACTCCCTTCATTAAAAGAGTACCTAAATATTGTTCTGTGTTCAGGTATCTTCTGAAAAGTTTTTCAAATAATATACTTAATTGGAATTTGCGTGCATCTCTTCACTACAACACCCATGTTTTAAAACTATTTCCCAACTGACCAGCCTCATGAAATATTTAGAGAGAAAGGCAAGATAACATGTACAGCTGTCCAGCCAATTCCCCAAGATAGAATAATGACATCTAAGGGTGGCGAGTTGGTTTTCCCCTAGGTCTTTCTGTAGAACACCAGGAAAGATAAAGTTTGGATTGCTATGCAATAAACTACTGAAGTCCATCAAACTAGCTAAAACTCCCTGCTACACATATGAATTTTAGATGGGTTTTAATAGTGTAATTAGCACTTTTTCATTCTGAAGGGTGGAAAACAGCTACTGAAGATTATGGAATTGTCTCTACCGATTTTCTGTTGTATGGGTTTATCCCAGGGAGAGTTTTCTGGACAATTCTGAGCAGAAAATATCCAGGAAGTACAGCATTTTCTCAAAGAAGGTTGCATGTGTGTCTGTGTGTGTTTCAGAAGCACTGAAGCAAATCTCCCAGCTAGTTAACTACTGATTCTTTCTCTCAAGTGGTTTCCTCCCCTTAATGCTTTCTCCTCAATGCACCCCAATCTCTTCACAGCATCCTGCCACCCTTTATAGCCTGGTTTAAATCCTGTCTACTCAATGACTCACTTTTCCTCCTTAGCATATTATTCACCACTATTTCCACAGCATTCACCATCCATATTAAAGTTTCTTACACATAAATTCATAGTCCTTGCTCAGTTGTGAACTTTAAGAAAACACGGGCTTTGGGGCCGGGGATTTAGCTCAGTGGTTGCGCAAGCGCAAGGACCAGAGTTCGATCCCCGGTACCAAAAAAAGAGAAAAGGAAAAGAAAAGAAGAGAAAAGAAAGAAAACATGGGCCTTTCCTTCTTCTTTCCTTTAGTCCTGCAACTCTGTATTATTTTAGACAACATATGCTCTACAAATGCTCACAGAATGGTAGACTTTTCTACAGTGGAAATGAGGTGAACCAGAGAAGGGGCAATAGAGGGGCTCTTTCTCCCCAAGCTAACACACACGAGAACTAACATCTTAGGTGGGAAGGGGATGGTGAGGTAGACCAATGAGCTCCAGCAGAAGGGCAAAGCTAAGAATTACTTATGGAAAGTAACAGACTCCTACGAATCAGAAGCTCAGGCTCTGGTCCTACCCTTGCTTGAAATTTCCAGAAGAAAGCACTTTATACTTGTTGCATAGTTTAGAGCCTTTAGGAAATCCTTTCTAGATTTTCAAAGTCCAATTTTCCTACCTCAGCAAGTAGGAGTCAGAGAGACATGGGTTTAATATGGACAATATAATATACTCCACCACATAGGATGGCTGTGAGGATTAATTAAATGAAATAATAAATGTAAAGCATAATTAGCCAAGGGGCAGGTACATACTTGGGTGAGGGCTAAGAACTCAACACCAATAACTATCAATTCCAGCTATTTTGTACATGCAAAAGGAACACAAATGGGGTAAAGTTAAAATATTGAAACTACAAGAGGATGAAAGAAAATGGAAAGATATCTCCTGTTCCTGGGTAGGAAGAACCAATATAGTAAGGGAAAGGAAAAAATATGAGAAGAGGAAAAAAAATGGAAACAAGGTCTTTGCAAATAGGGAAGGGTGGAGGGGGTGAAGGGAGGGCAAGGGAAGGGGAAA